TGTGTGTGTACTGGGTGTATACTGTGTGTACTGGGTGTGTACTGTGTGTGAACTGTTTGTGTAATGGGTGTATACTGTGTGTACTGTGTGTGAACTGTGTGTGTAATGGGTGTATACTGTGTGTACTGTGTGTGAACTGTGTGTGTACTGGGTGTATACTGTGTGTGTACTGGGTGTATACTGTGTACTGTGTGTGAATTGTGTGTGTAATGGTGTATACTGTGTGTACTGTGTGTGAACTGTGTGTGAACTGTGTGTGTACTGGGTGTATACTGTGTGTGTACTGGGTGTATACTGTGTGTACTGTGTGTGAACTGTGTGTGTACTGTGTGTGAATTGTGTGTGTAATGGTGTATACTGTGTGTACTGTGTGTGAATTGTGTGTGTAATGGTGTATACTGTGTGTACTGTGTGTGAACTGTGTGTGTACTGGGTGTATACTGTGTGTGTACTGGGTGTGTACTGTGTGCATACTGTGTGTAAAATGGGTGTCCTGGGTATGTACTGTTTGTCCTGAGTGTATACTGTGTGTCCTGGGTGTATACTGTGTGTACTGTGTGTATACTGTGTGTCCTGAGTTTATACTGGGTGTATATTATGTGTATTTACCAGTACTGAGTACTCCACGTCGTCTCCCAGCAGCCCCGTGTCGTTCAGAGTGTATTTGGCTTTCTTCATCTTGGCGTCCACCGGCCCTTTCTCCACCTGATGCTTCAGAGCCTTGAACAGCTTGTAGAGAGGCTCCCCTGCTGTGTCCTGATCAGACAATCATATCAGAAATAATTACAAATAATTACAAATGAAATATAATAGACGTAATCTATACTACAATTAAATATAATTATAAAAAAGATATGTTTGGATACTGGCAGGACTTATTCAGGGTTTAGGGAATAAACTCATTGACATTCAGCTGCAGATTTTGAACACAACATAACAAACACACTTTTTGGTACGAGGATGTTAAATGATAGAAACTCTGAGCTGCTGCTGTTGGTTGTTCCGAACAGCACAAACAAACTAAAACACAAGGGGCAACAAAACTGATTTCCACAGAAAAGAGAGACAGAGGAACATTTCAAAGAGGCAATTATAACTGGAGAGGAAGAAGAGAGAGAAGCAGATCGAAGAACAGTCAAAACAAACGGAGAGGAAGTGAAAAAACAAGAGAAAAAAAAAATATATATCCGTTACCCTGAGGAACTGATAGATACAGATGGACATCCAATTACAGAGCATCCTCTCCACCACCGTCTCTGACCTGCACACACACACACACACACACACACACACACACACACACACACACACACACACACACACACACACACACACACACACACACACACACACACACAATATTTTAAAGGGACAGTTCGACAATCTGGAAAAAACACGTTTAATTATTATACATTTTATAATTTAAAAAATCCATCAAAACTCCACATCACTGAGGACCTGACTCTTCACACCACCACCATCACCAAAAGAGCTCGACAGCGGCTCTTCTTCCTCCGCAGGCTGAGGAGGTTCAACATGGACTCCAGGATACTCTGCAACTTCTACAGGTGCACCATAGAGAGCATCCTGACCTTCTACAGGTGCACCATAGAGAGGATCCTGACCTTCTACAGGTGCACCATAGAGAGCATCCTGACCTTCTACAGGTGCACCATAGAGAGGACCCTGACCACTCATGTACAACAACTTCCTGACAATAAATAAGCACTAATTAGAGGGTTATTGAGGAAAAACTAGTAACTAATGGCCTAGTACTTGTAAAATATGGTCATCATTTTTTTAAGGTCACCTATCATGCTATTTGTAGGCAATAGCATAGGTCTCAGATATATACAAATATATAAAAAACATGTCTATGAAGTGTTTTGCTCAAAATACCAAACAGATCACCCATTCTAGCCATGCCTCATATCCCTCTGTTTCACTTCCTGTTTCAAAAGTGCTGATTTGGGGTATAAAGCTTTAAAAAATGGATAAAAAAGAGGTGCGGAGCTTATGCGGGAGATACTACCAGCAGATACTGCAGTGATGAAACGCCATATCATGGATTATCAAGGATTCTTTCTGAAACAGTATGGAGCTCAAAGGCTTTCTCTCTTGCCGGTTATACCACAAGGTGAGTTCCTTTTTATTTCCTGCTTCTTCACACACATGCTCTCCAGTACAGGTTAGCTCTGAGTGTTAGCGATGCTAATGTAAACACCGACCATATTACGTCCAAAACAGTCGGGCATTGTTTCTGATAGCAACGTTTCTGATAGCAACGTTTCTGATAGGGCCGTGGGTCCACATTTCAGATATTACGTCATATCGGACGCAAATCTGGATCAGCTCCGTTGTTCCCCCCCCCCTCCCCCCGTTTTTAGAGATTTGGGTACGGAGGAAAAGAGAGAGGGTTTTATTTTCTGACGCTGCGTGAGTTCCCTGACACACCGGGGACACTTATTGATGTATAAAAGACATCAACAAGTGCATTTTGCATGATAGGTCCCCTTTAATATGTATATGTCTAAATGTGTCTTTTGATTGTGTATATATTAGGGATGGGAATTTGAAAGCAAATTTATATTCGAATATTCGACCCCCAAAAAAACGGACATCACAAGTGCATTTTGCATGATGGGTCCCCTTTAATACTGACTAATAAAGAGCCCATATACTTGCTAATATGCATGTTAATTAACAACTAGTTGATGGTGAATATGTGTACCCTAATATAAAGTGTTACCATTAACTGTATTGTGAATCAGAAACGGGTTTATAAAGTAAAGTAGGTTTACACATATGAGGAATGTGCCTTTTGGTGCATACATAAACAGTTAAAGAAGAGAAAAAGTAAGAAAAAGAAACCAAAAAATTTAACAATTATAAAAAACGTTGCAGTGTTGTTACGTATAATCTCTATGACCCTTAAAAATGATCACTCTGTGTCCCTGACGGAGCTTTGGCTTGAACTCCAGAGACTAGGTCACACATTTTTGTAGCATGTCAAAAGCTCAAGTGCACACACACACACACACACACACACACACACACACACACACACACACACACACACACACACACACACACACACACACACACACACACACACACACACACACACACACACACACACACACAATATTTTAAAGGGACAGTTCAACAATCTGGAAAAAACACGTTTAATTATTATACATTTTATAATTTAAAAAATCCATCAAAACTCCACATCACTGAGGACCTGACTCTTCACACCACCACCATCACCAAAAGAGCTCGACAGCGGCTCTTCTTCCTCCGCAGGCTGAGGAGGTTCAACATGGACTCCAGGATACTCTGCAACTTCTACAGGTGCACCATAGAGAGGACCCTGACCTTCTACAGGTGCTCCATAGAGAGCATCCTGACCTTCTACAGGTGCTCCATAGAGAGCATCCTGACCTTCTACAGGTGCACCATAGAGAGCATCCTGACCTTCTACAGGTGCACCATAGAGAGCATCCTGACCTTCTACAGGTGCACCACAGAGAGCATCCTGACCTTCTACAGGTGCACCATAGAGAGGATCCTGACCTTCTACAGGTGCACCATAGAGAGCATCCTGACCTTCTACAGGTGCTCCATAGAGAGCATCCTGACCTTCTACAGGTGCACCATAGAGAGCATCCTGACCTTCTACAGGTGCACCATAGAGAGCATCCTGACCTTCTACAGGTGCACCATAGAGAGCATCCTGACCTTCTACAGGTGCACCATAGAGAGCATCCTGACATCACGGCCTGGTACGGCAGGTGCACCGCCCTTAACCGTAAGGCTTTACAGAGGTTGGTGAAAACTGCACAGCACATCACCAGGACGGAGCTGCCATCCATGGAGGACCTCTACTCCCAGCGGCACAGGAAGAAAGCCCTCAGGATTATAAAAGACCCCCATCACCCCAGCCACAAACTGTTCTGTCTGCTGCCGTCTGGCAGGCGGTACCGCAGCATCCGGACTAAAACCACCAGACTCAGGGACAGTTTCATCCCACAGGCCAGAAGACTGTTAAACACCTGAACTGTTGAAACAACATCCATAACATTCATCTGCTACTTAGTCATTATTTATCTATTTACCTAATATATCATTCAAATAACTTGCATATAGACTCTTATTGCACTATTTCACTTTTTTAAACTATTTTTCTTTTTGTATTACTATTTAGTAAGAGAGCTCTCCCTCTCCTTACTGTTGAGACAGCTTCTAATCTCCGTTAGCGCCGAGCTAGCACCAAATGCTAACATCAACCCCGTAACTCTCTATGTCTCTCTCTCTCTCTCTTTCTATCTCTCTCTCACAAGATGCGCTCGTGCCACACACACACAGACGCTCCTCCGTGACGATGACCGCTTGCGTAAAAAAAATGATAATAAACACTTTTCAAAATCCCATTTGTCCCCAGTGGAAATTACGCCCATGGATTTGAACACGATCCGTGTATCCATCATTTCCTGGTCTTCTCTAAAGAAGAGGGACCAATGAAAACGTTGTCATGTTGCCGTTGTTCAGCATGGAAACATTCATTAGCTAACAATGACATTATTGTTCTATTAATATAAAGGGAGGTCAGGTACTCTTTAAAACAGCTGCTAGTTATGGGTACTTTTTACTGAAGTACATTTCAAAGCCCTCTTTACTTTTACTTGAGGAAAGAAGTTTAGTCAGTACTTCTACTTTCACCAGAGTATTTTTAAACACGAGTATTTGTACTTCTACTCGAGGAAAGGATGTGTGTACTTTTGTGTAAATAACTGAATGTTTCTAGCGAGAGTTCTTGTGTTTCCTGACCTGCGCAGCATGAGTTTTGGGTTTTTGTTCTGCACGTGTTCGTCCATCAGCTCCAGCAGCAGCGTCCTCATGATGTCGGTGTAATACTCCAGCTTCCCGTGCAGCGCCACCGTCAGCAGAGAGGCGAAGGAACCGCGAGCACGAGCGTTAAAGTCCGGACGGCTCTCCAACGTACGGATAAACTACGGGACATAAATACAGAGGGGTTTAAGATTAAAGACATGACTAGGTTTGAGCAACGAAGTGAAGCAGTGATCTTTGGAAGAACTCTGAATGCAGATCATAATCCATTAAAGGGAAAAGCTAGTGATAGTAAATATAATAATAATAATTGTAATTTGGATTATTTTATTATCTTTGGGTTCATATTTTTTATTAAGAAAGCCGATTTCCACAAGTATTATATATAATAATAATACATTTCATTTTTACAGCGCTTTTCCTAGTGCTCAAAGATGCTTATATACAATATTTAAACTCATGGGGGTGCTAGAGTAAATGTCAACGTGAACAATAAATGAATAAAACGTAAGTAAAGAAGCCGTAAAACACGTGTTCCTCTCACGTTGATGAGGAAGGGTTTGCTGTTCAGCAGGTTGGAGAACTGGTTCAGAGCCTGAGCCACGATGGCCTTTCGGGCTTCTGGGATTTGTATTTTCCCGACGATCATGGTGTCGTCCGCGCCGTCCTTCGTGGGCAGAAAGAAGTTCCGGTCGGTGTACGTTTTATAATCCAGGAAGGGGATCCGCGCCTCGCTCAGATCGCTGGTGTGGTCCTCCATCTCTATCATCAGGTCTGACGGGAACAGAGGGAAAACAGCAAATCATTATTATTTTTATTTTTATTAATATTGTGTTATTGTAATTTATAAAATTATGATTATTTATTTATTAATATTATTATTATAAATTCTTTTTTATAACATGTTTCTTTTGTTTAGAAAGTCTTCAAATTTAAAACATTTTTTTTTGCATTCACCGTTTTTTGCTGTGAAATGTTGAATAAAGTTACCAAGATATAAGTTGTATATATGTATATGTTAAATAATATTTAAACTTAAAAAACAAATACTTTAACCTGTTAAGCCCTGAGCCTGTTTTTCAGGTCTCAGACTCGAAAATGACATTCCCAGAACAAATGACCATATCTTCCCTTCTAAAAGGGTTAAATTAATAATCTTTTTTCTCAAAGTAATGATAAAGTTGTGAGTTGGATGTAGAAAAGTCAGATTCAATATATATGTTTTTTATTTTAAAGAAAATTCAGATTTTACATAGTAAAAAACTGTAAATTATAGTGTCCGTCCAAAAATTCTTTTTTACTTATAGTGAAAACTACCCTTGGATGATGGGTTAGTAGACTAAAAGCTTTAGGAATCCAAAGTACAACATATAATAAGTACCCTGTATCAAGATTGATGCAAAACAAGTGAAATTTGACCTTTTTAGAGAGATTTAGCAAAAAGAAACCACTTCTGGGGTCATTTGGGTGGATTTTCCATATCTCTGGCCCCCCTTGCTCGATTTTGATGGTTGACACCTCTTTCTGACCGTTAGAGCCAATAGAATCGAAGGGGGAGTCCCAAGGTAAAAATGTTAGCATTTTTAGCTACCTAGCGTCACCTGTTTTGATGTCCGTTTTTGCTTATAACGTCGCAAATACGTATAATTCAGTGGTAATGTCGGTGTCGTTAGATTCTGTGTCACCTCACGATGTGAAACGATGTGTTGGATGTGGTGAAAAGATAAATAATAAGGTTTTGTGAGTGATTTTCGGTGCAGTAAGGTGTTAGCATATTTCGCTCGTTGCTAATTCAGAGGCTCAGTGTTAGCATTTTGGGTTTTCTTTTGAAAAAAAAAAAAAAAGATCAGTTAGATGAGTTTCTTCCCGTTACATGGATATAAAACATTCATAGTTTTATTAAATGACAGACACTGTTTCCTGCAAGATGTTGCGGCAGTACCCCGGTACCGGGGTCTCTCGGGCTTAACAGGTTAAAAGATAATTTTTGTTATAGTGTTTTTCACACTATAACATTTAAAAATGAAAAAACATTTAAAATTACAGATAAATAAAACATAATTTGATATTTGATTAGATTTTCATGTCTTCAATGTATCTTTTGAGCAGAATGTATCATAGCCTGATGGGAGAAGCACCTAAAGGTCGTCTCAGGTTGTAAAAAACTGGAGTAATAATGTAATATTTGAGTATATTTGAGTACCTGTGAACTCCTTCTTGCAGCGGTCCCGGACGCTCTCCTCCACATTCTCCAGCTGGTGTTTCACCTTCTCGTATTCCCGCTCCGCCTGCTGGCTCTTCCTCCTGTTACACACACACACACACACACACACACACACACACACACACACACACACACACACACACACACACACACACACACACACACACACACACACACACACACACACACACACACACACACACACACACACACACACACCCCAACACACGTCCACACACGTCTAATTGATGTTTATCTCTGACCTGTAGCAGTAGACGGAGATGGCGATGAAGAAGAGCATGGGGATGATAACTGAGGGGATGATGATCTCCAGAGGGATGTCTTTACTCTGAGCGTAGTAAACGGAGCCCACCGTCCACTCCCCGTGACCGAACTTCACCTAAAGAGAGACAGAATGCTAGTTATACAAATATTAAGTAAAAAAAACATTTAAAAAAAAAATATATCATCAAATATATATATTAAAAAACGAAAAATAACCTAGAGACATAATAATGCAAAAAAGTAAAATAATAAATCATAAAATAAATCAAACAGAAACATGAATAGTATGTTTTAAGAACGTTGTCCTATATGTAAAACATTTTATAATTTTTTTCAGCTTTTCAAGACAATAACATGCAACTTTCCCACTGGTTCAATCGTTGTGATACTAATGATAGTTTGAATCCCACAGCAGCAGAATCAAGTCATGTTGAACCCTTCTAAAATATGGTGAAGGAAACTGTAATTCTGCAGCTCTGTTTGATCTGAATGAACTCAACACATATATATGAAGGTAAGTTTGTGTTTACCACGAGGTCCAACTGGTCGTTGGTCGTGTCTCTGCGCTGACGTTTAGATCCAGATCTGGGCTGAGAGGAGGGAGCCTCCAAGATCAACTTATCATCCTACACACACACACACACACACACACACACACACACACACACACACACACACACACACACACACACACACACACACACACACACACACACACACACACATATTAAAGGATAACACATTTACAATATAGACAATCTTAAAGTAAAAAATGATCACGTCAATATGTATAAAGAGAAAAAGATGGATCCAGGTGGATGTAAACAATCTTACAGGTGCCACACACACACACACACACACACACACACACACACACACACACACACACACACACACACACACACACACACACACACACACACACACACACACACACACACACACACACACACACACACACACACACACACCTGCAGGATGTTGACGGGACAGGAGGCGTCTCCAATGAACGCCTGCGCCTCTTTGGCCGTCATGGCTTTAGAGAAACCTCGACCCTGAAAACACACGAAGAAGAAGAGTAGAGTGAAGACAACATATGCATAATGTAGTTATTTTTGGTCGGTTTCCCCCCTTTTTTAGTTGTTTTGTGTCCATTTGTAGTCATTTTGTGCATCTCTGTGGTCATTTTGAGCCTCTTTGTAATTATTTTTGTCCTTATTTTTGTTATGAGTTGTGTTTTTGCAGTCATTTTGTGTGTCCTTATCACTGTTTGATATGTTATCCAGTTATTGTTTTGTCTCTATATGGTGACTTTGAGTCTCTTTGTGGTTGTTTTTGTGTCTCTTTTCAGTCATATTTGGTCCTCTTTGTAGTTACTTGTCTTTTCTAGTACGTTTTGTCCCTTTGTGATATAGTTTTTTCAAGATTCAAAGATGCAAAGGTTTTATCGTCATATGCACAAAGCTACAAATGGCAATGAAATTCTTCTGACCTGAGCTCCTCCAACAACGCAACATATGTAATAAAATACAAAAATACAAAATAAAAAGTAGTGCAAAGAGTCTATATACATGTAAATAGAATATGGGTAGCGCCACATTGATGTATTTTCAGAATAAAAGCTCACGTGGACGATGATGATGCTGGTCTCGGTGATGATGTTCTTCAGCAGCTGGTTGAAGGAGGGGTCGGGATGATAGTCGAAGCCTTTCAGCTCCTCCTTCTCGTCGTCCAACCAGAGGACAGATCTCAACGCCGTGCTGTCGACGGAGCAGTTCACCGCCGGAGAGAGAAACTGAAGCACCGTGTCGTTCTTACTCACATGCTCCTGAACAAACTGCACAGAAGAAAACATCCAGCTGTGAGACAATGTTTTCATTCAATTATTCTGCTGATGTTCAGGTGTATATCAGTATGTATCTACTTTAAAGAGTCCTCTCCTGCTGATGCTCAGGTGTATATCAGTATGTAGTGTCTCTACTTTAAAGAGTCCTCTCCTGCTGATGTTCAGGTGTATATCAGTATGTAGTGTCTCTACTTTAAAGAGTCCTCTCCTGCTGATGTTCAGGTGTAGATCAGTATGTAGTGTCTCTACTTTAAAGAGTCCTCTCCTGCTGATGTTCAGGTGTATATCAGTATGTAGTGTCTCTACTTTAAAGAGTTCTCTCCTGCTGATGTTCAGGTGTATATCAGTATGTAGTGTCTCTACTTTAAAGAGTCCTCTCCTGCTGATGTTCAGGTGTATATCAGTATGTAGTGTCTCTACTTTAAAGAGTCCTCTCCTGCTGATGTTCAGGTGTAGATCAGTATGTAGTGTCTCTACTTTAAAGAGTCCTCTCCTGCTGATGTTCAGGTGTATATCAGTATGCAGTGTCTCTACTTTAAAGAGTCCTCTCCTGCTGATGTTCAGGTGTAGATCAGTATGTAGTGTCTCTACTTAAAGAGTCCTCTCCTGCTGATGTTCAGGTGTATATCAGTATGCAGTGTCTCTACTTTAAAGAGTCCTCTCCTGCTGATGTTCAGGTGTATATCAGTATGTAGTGTCTCTACTTTAAAGAGTCCTCTCCTGCTGATGTTCAGGTGTATATCAGTATGTAGTGTCTCTACTTTAAAGAGTCCTCTCCTGCTGATGTTCAGGTGTATATCAGTATGTAGTGTCTCTACTTTAAAGAGTCCTCTCCTGCTGATGTTCAGGTTCATATCAGTATGTAGTGTCTCTACTTTAAAGAGTCCTCTCCACCACACACACACACACACACACACACACACACACACACACACACACACACACACACACACACACACACACACACACACACACACACACACACACACACACGAGGAGAAAAATAATAATAAAGATTACAAAATATTTAAATAGTGTTAGTCAAATAGTGCAAGGTTGGAGCAGCCTCATCTCAGCACAGCAAATACATTGTATTATTTATTTTTTAAGTAATTTTTTCATGGAACATTGTCCCCCTCCCTTGGCTTTATATTTTCCATTTATTTTATCCTACAATAGCTCTAATAAACCATCACCTTTATTCAATCACATCAAACCAGCTTTTAAGCACACACTCACCATAGGAAGCTGCTCTTGGGGTTAAAATCTGTGATCTTGGGGTTTTCCGAGTACTGTTAAGCGGATGGAATTTCCTTCGTCGTGTTTGTCCCGTATTTCACCGCCACCACTAACCTCTCCGAGGTAACTTTCTGCCCCCGATATTTCCCCGTTTTACACGAGATCTCAGAGCCGAACTTTAGCCTGAAAGGGAGAAATGAAAACGTTTAAATATCCCTAAAGTATTTAAGAAGGTTACTAGAAAATTGTAAAAGTAGTAACAAAGTATTTGCACTCCACTACTTCCCACCTCTGTGTAAAGGTTTAAAAAGGAGCTGCTTACACTTCACAGGGAACTCCTCCGACAGAAACAGAGACATCGTCTTTCGTGGCGGTGTCCAGGTCTTCCCCCTTGATGGTGATCACCGTCCCCCCGGCAGCTGGACCCTTCTCTGGGAGCACAGAGGAGGGTATGGGGTCCTGAAGGAAGAGGGAGAGGGAGATCAATTATGAGCTTTTCATTTTTTAGCATCTCACTGCTTCACATATTTAAATGATTTGTTATTTTTAGGTCTGTCAGTGAACTTTGAAGCCAATACTTTTCTACTTCAGGAGGACTTTTAATTTATTTTTCTTAACTTTGATTATTAATTAGTTTTTAATAGTCTGTGTTATTGTTCAGAGACTCTCCCCTCCCCCCCACCAGTACATGTTGTGAAGGCTTTGGCATGAGAATAATTTACCTAAAATCAAAGACCCGTCAAACATAATGTCAGTGACGGAGAAACAAAGGGAAAAATAAAATGAGAATTAAACATTAACAGCTGCAGGTAGGAACGCTTTGATCAAAACTAAAGCATATACAGTACATGAGTCTTAATATGCTCAATATGGGCCTAATAAGGCAGCAGTACCACACGAATAGTAATTCTCCCATAATAACACTTAACAGATATGATCTATTCTTATGTAACAAGACATGAAACTATAAGTGTTAATTAAGTCTAAATAACTCAAAATGAGGTATTTCTATCTAAGAATATGTTTTGGGGTGTTGACAGTTCAGCTATAGCAAGGTGATATTGACCTGTATGTTTCATATTTATTACATTGTTATTTATTAAAGTTAATATACCAGAAGTCATGTTCAGGTTGGGAGTCACACTTTAGTTTCTGTTGATTTATTTATAATTGGGTTTCTTTATAATTTGTGTACGTGCTATGTTTAAATTCAAAGATGTTTTTTTCTGCACATTTTTTGCAATAAATTGTTAATAAATGAGTGTGTGAACGGTGTGTGTGTAGAAAGCTTCAGAATATAGAGAGGAAGGAATGTGGACGCTTTGGTTTCTGTAAGAGATTTCTGCTGAGAGAGGAGGAGAACAATATTATGGAGATAAAGACATTTGAGACAATTCCAACATTTTAGGAAAACTATTTCTGATTCAGAGTGGGACATTGGGTGGTCCCCACTGGCCAGTCAAATCCTCTGGAAAAACTCCAGTTCCACATTTTTATTCCACTCCATCGCCGATGCGCTTTAGCCACTATTACAACTCTGTGTTGAAGACTGTCTTCACAACACATGGGCGAATACATGCATTAAAACAGATTTGTTCTAGCAGGCCCCTCCACTATCCAACTGTGCCGGGGACAGCTAATGTCATGTAGCTGTATAAACTATAAATGCTATCCAGCTAAACACTTTGACCGGAAGGCCGGAGGCCGCTAGCTGGACGTGGCCACTAGCTTGCGCGTAGTCATGTAAAAGCTAAACACACTACAAAACTCAACCTAATATCCAGGAATGAAACGATATAGAGACTGTGCTACAGTGGAAGAAATAAAAGCAACATTATTTAGTGTTTTAAAGAAATAAACTCCCCTTGGGTTGAGATACTTACTGTAGTCCGGTGTCAGATCAAATTAATGAAAGTGAGGTGATTGTGGGTAAGAAGCGTACGTGACGTCACATTGCCGTCAAGTGCGACGTAACGTTGCCGTGGTAACGACGGAATCTTCTTCTGGTTCATTGTTGTTATAATAAAAAGCATTTGACATACAGTCAGTAACCATCGTCATTCCGATGTGGGGGGAGTGGTTTTCACCATCATTATCATCATTATTTATTTTTAAATGACTAATATTAGCCTACAATAAGGGGGACATGATCAAATAGGAATATAATTATCTTTTAAATAACGTAAACTAAAGGGAACAATCTATTTGACACAGCTGAAGCTCTGGCCTTCCTTAAAAACTAATTTCATAAAAATCACAGTTGTATTACAAACACTGCACTGTTTTTAGAGAACATAAGTTCGTAACTAATGCACCATAATACATTCTGACGAAAAATACAAATTATTATGAAAAATAATAAAATAAAAGAAGCCTCCCGTGAGTTACTACAGGCTATAAAGTAGATTTTAAAAACGTTTTATAGAGTAGAAAGCTCACTGCGGGATGTTGTAGAAATGTGTGTGTCCACCACGACAAAGGAGCCTCATTCACTTCACATTGGGGTTGTTTCTGTGATGCAGACACGTAAATGTAGCAGAGTCCGTGACTCCACCACGTAATGCGGTGTTAAGGAGTCGTGGTCATTTCACGTATTCTGGTGAGACCAGGTTGCCTTTATAGCCCAACATTAGCCACCTTTAGCTTAGCGGTGGTGACGTGAAGTCATGTGACTGCGCTGTAGTTCCTTTATAGCCCAACATTAGCCTCCTTTAGCTTAGCGGTGGTGACGTGAAGTCATGTGACCGTGCTGTAGTTCCTTTATTGCCCAACATTAGCCACCTTTAGCTTAGCGGTGGTGACGTGAAGTCATGTGACCGAGCTGTAGTTCCTTTATTGCCCAACATTAGCCACCTTTAGCTTAGCGGTGGTGACGTGAAGTCATGTGACCGTGCTGTAGTTCCTTTATAGCCCAACATTAGCTTTTTACTTCAGAAATCCTAAAGTGGTGTTAATATGTGGAGATTATTCTGCTGAACTAAACGTGTAAGAATCATAAACGTTTGTTTGACACAGAGATTACTTCAATACTAACCTGTTATAACTAAAGCCTTGAGGTTTAGTTATAACACAGAAACTGTTGCGTGAGACATTATATTCAGCAGAAGTCTCCACGTTTGCAGTCAACCAAAGTAGTTTGTAAGTATGCTACGGACAGAAAACACACACGACCACATCGCTCAGAGTTTGGCCTGGAGTACGGGGCCGTTTATTGAATCTGCGCATGCTCATTAGCATGACCACGTTTCTTTCACTCAGGCACATTCTGATGATGTCATACACATGAACTGAAACATGACTTTGTTCTTATACAAATATGCTTAACAGAAACAAAGCAAACACATCATTTTCCAACCAGGAGAAACACTTTTGAAATCAGCTCACTCTCAGAGTTTCATGGATTATTAAAGAAGTTTTATTATTTTTTTGGTACATAGCAAATGACAGCATTTATTACAGTGATGTTGAACATCGTCATGATTTCTGGAGGAATCTGCTGTGTTCAGAATTTAAGACGATTTGCTTCATCGTAATCTCATGGAAACCAAATTGGTCAAAACTCTTAATTTTTTCAAGTAGAATTTGTGATGCAAAAATCATCAAGAAATCAAGAAAAATCTTCAACAAAAAAATGTGTTAAAAAAAGCAACATTCTTCATAACAAAATCAAGAAAACTACGAAATAATGGTCAATATTTTTCAACAAAACAAGTCTCAACAAAATCAAAATCAATCAAAATTCTTATGAAGCAAAAACATTTCTCGGTTCCAAAATCACAACACTTGTTTACGGACAATGTTAACATTTTAAGTACGAAATAATTAGTCTCCTGAATTTGGGAAAATCCTAAATCACAAAAATAATCTGAGTTCTTTGAAAAAAGTGAAATTCTAAAGAAATTCAAATGTTTCATAAAAGTCCAAAAAGTAATGATCACAGATTATTGATCATCTTGTGAAATAAGTACAATCCTCAATAATACAAAAACAAGCACATTTCTTGATCACATAACAAAGCACATTACCTTTTAAAAAGAAAACTTCTACAAAATTATGTACATTTTTAATTACAACATGTTAGTATTTAATATCTTATGAATTTGGGAATGCTCTCCAATAGGTGGAGTTCTTAAAAACAGCTAAATTACTACAAAATACAGACAAATACCATCAAAAATGTAATTAAAATTCATATAAAGTAAGAAAATACTGAATGATTGAAAATGATTACAACACTGAGCTCAGTACACGTGAAATAAGAAAATTAAAGAAAGTTAAAATCTTATACATTTTGGCAAATTACAAATATAATCGGATTTCTCTTTTTTTTACAAACAATCTCTTCAGACCAAAATCAAGCTGAATTCTTCAGAAATAACAATTTTCAATATAAAATCAGCATTGTTATGAAATAAGAAGTGTATGGATTATTTACTTCTGTTCAATTCCTATTTGTATATTGTTCAGCTAAATCTGGTCCTGCTGCTAAAATGACCCATGTGACCCACAAGGGGATCAAATATCCCATATCGCTGATCAGATGAATTGTTGTGAAAAACGTAACATTTTATAAACTGTACTTTTTCTTATTTGTTGATATAAAAATATAAAAAAACGTTGTTGTGCTTGAGGTCTACAAATCCAACACTAGGTGGCGCTGTAACGCGTTGCTCCTGTTATCTCAGGAATGACTACATTAGATTCAAACACTGGGTATTGTAACACTGTTTTTAGAGGATATTTGAACATTAAAGGTGGGGTAGGTAATTTTGGAGAAACCAGCTCGAGATCGCTAGAATTTGAAAATACACAGCCGGAAACAATCTCCTACTTCCTTATAGAGCCTCTCCTCCAACACACACGAACGCGCACATGACCAATGAGGGCACGAGATAAGTTTGTGCACAGATGGAAGGCTGACAGGCAGGTAGGCCATCCAGTTATTTTAGCCGGGCCGGCTAAAATGATTGGTCGTGCTTTTTACAGTACTACGGCTTCCACAGATGACTTTTTTCATGGATTTTTTGTCAAAGCACTTAAGATATTCATTGCTATCGGGATGTTAAGAGCATTCCATGGAATATAACAAAAAGTGTATCTCGAGCCGGTTTCTCAAACTTACCTACCCCACCTTTAATGTATGGCATTCATTGGCCAACTTAGTTCCTGAGCGGCCTGGGTTGGTGTGTCTGGTTTCAAACTGCACCGACTGCATTGACTTTTCTAAATAAAACTAACTTGTGATGATTTTTAAAGATCTTCATCTTCAGTGGGAACCAATGGGCTTGGAGCTGACAGGAAGTCAGGAAACATGAGGCACTCACACATTGCTGGTGACTTTCAGAGTGAAAGCTATATTTTCTAACGTTGGTTACAAGCTATAAGAGCTGATAAACCCATGTGTGTGAGAGGAGCTCCTTGGAGCTGCTACTCTGCTCCCTGAGCTCCTTCCTCTTCAGCAGGAACACCCAGGTCATCATAATCCAGCTCAATGTCCTCCTATCGGCTCGGCCTCCGCCCCCTGGTGGCCTGGAGAGACATGACAGCACACAGTGAGACTTCCTGCATCACTCCTGTTCCATAACACACACTGTTTCATTCAGTCAGTGGTGGAACAACAACATGTTTCAGTACCTCATCATTCAGTCAGTGGAACAACAACATGTTTCAGTACCTTATCATTCAGTCAGTGGAACAACAACATGTTTCAGTACCTTATCATTCAGTCAGTGGAACAACAACATGTTTCAGTACCTTATCATTCAGTCAGTGGTGGAACAACAACATGTTTCAGTACCTCATCATTCAGTCAGTGGAACAACAACATGTTTCAGTACCTCATCATTCAGTCAGTGGTGGAACAACAACAACATGTTTCAGTCCCTTATCATTCAGTCAGTGGTGGAACAACAACATGTTTCAGTACCTCATCATTCAGTCAGTGGTGGAACAACAACATGTTTCAGTACCTCATCATTCAGTCAGTGGAACAACAACATGTTTCAGTACCTCATCATTCAGTCAGTGGAACAACAACATGTTTCAGTACCTCATCATTCAGTCAGTGGAACAACAACATGTTCGTTACCTTGCAGTAGAAGTAAAGGCCGACAGCCACCAGCAGCTGAGTCAGCGGCAGGACGACGGCTCGGATGATAAAAGGTTTTGGATCTGATCGAACACCTGGACAGCATCACATCAAGAGTCAGCAAACACACAGAGACCTGAACCCACTTCAGCATGGAGACTCCTCTCTACAGTTATATTACAATTAGTCCAGCAGATATGTGCCCTATAGCCAAAAATCTTCCTTAGGGCATGTTCTAACAGTGTGCCAAATTTCATGTTTTTATCATCAAAAGCACAATTCTTTCAGATATTTCACATATCTGCTGGACTAAATAAACTACATCTTCTTAAGATCTTCATTCAATCCCAACCCTTGTTCCTGTTCAAAGCAGACAGTAGGACTGTAGGGAGAAGCTGCTAGCTGTATCTGTTAAACAGTCAGTACTCATGGCAATACTCCAATGTAAACTACAGCTGACTGGAGAATGTGTGTTCTGGATTCATGTCTTCACGGTTCATTGCACTTATTGTACGTTGCTCTGGAAAGCTACATGTGATGTAAGGGTGTGACTGCTTCAGGGCTCACAGTAAAACACTCAGTCCTCACCAGCGTTCTCCTGGGGAGCATCACGCTCTGTCCTACAGTAAACTCTAACAGCTCACCTGTGACGGTGACGGAGAGCAGACGGCTCTCAGAGGAGAAGTCCTGAGAAAAAGCAGAGACGTGATAAACACAGCTGTAGTTTCCCTGGTGGGCGGGCTCTGCAGCCGGGAACAGGAAGTGGGCAGAGTGATTGACAGCTGGCTCTGAGTAGTAGTTGTTTGCTGAGTTGATGGAGGTGAAGTTGAGCTGGAAGGAGCCTCCTGGGTACTGAGGCTGGATGGAGCAACTGATGCTGAAGGTGGAGCCTCTGAACACCTGGAACCCCTGCTGCTGGGCCCCGGAGACCCCGTACATGGAGGAGGACACAGAGATGTTGGGCTAA